AGAGAGAGAGAGAGAGAGAGAGAGAGAGAGAGAGAGAGAGAGAGAGAGAGAGAGCAATCTAACTAACTACGTGCCACTCCACTCCCCACCCCACCTATCTGCTCCGATCAGTTTATATCTGATCCGTGGTCCATCGAGACCTGTGTTGGAAGAGAGAGAGAGAGGGAGAGAGAGAGAGCCCAATCTAACTAACTACGTGCCACCCCACTCCCCACGATCAAGTGTAGCATCTGCTCCGATCAGTTTCATATCTGATCCGTGATTCCGTGATCCATCGAGACCTTTAAAAGAAATAGCATGTGGTGTGTGTGTGTGTGTGTGTGTGTGTGAGAGAGAGAGAGAGAGAGAGAGAGAGAGAGAGAGAGAGAGACCCCAATCTTATTACACGGCCTGCCCCTTTCCCCCCCACACGATCACAGAATTGCGTATCTCCCGACATCTGAGAAAGAATATTTGTGGTGAGCGGGAGACAGGTATGCAACGTGTGACACACAACAGACGAGTTCAAAGCCGAACAATCACATACCCAGCAAACCACAACTGAAAAGAATGCAAACTGTGATTAGGTCTCTGACAGGAGAAAAAAGCAAAAAAAATTCAAAAAGAGAAAAAAGAAAGCATATATTCAAGGCGTTCAAAGCAGCAGCAGCATTCCATCGGCAGTGTCAACAACAGTGCACAGGTGAGCCTAAAAAACACCCGGGCACCACCCAAACCTACACCCGGACCAACAAGCCCCCACCCACCCTCATTTGCACCCTTTTCCCTTCATTGTTTTGCGGGCGAAGCCGCAACAGGTAGCCTTGTATATGTATGTATATATATTTTGGTCTTGTGTTTTTTTCCCTTTTGCCGTCGCAAGGACCTTGACGGCAGTGGTTGGTGCCTACCTCCTCAGAGGGGTGTTAGTTGTCGGGCAGTAGTTGATGCTTAACCACAACCGGCGTTAAGGTGGATTATCACGAACAGTGTAATCAGTTAGGGGATTTTGCAGACCGTTTTTGAGGGTTCAGCCTCCTGATCAGTCGGTGAAACTTAACAGTGTGTCACAGCCCCTCGTTTGTTGTCCTCTTCTCCCTCTCTTTGACGGTTTACCGGGCAGTTCTGTTTGACGATATGTACACGATTATTTATAGGTCTGTCTAATCGCGAGGGCATGGAACGTCTATCGTCATGGTGGTGTATGTGATAGAAAGCCTATACTGAGTCCGACACTGAGTCCGATAATACTGAGTCCGATAACGTGATGGAGTGGTAAAGCGTTGTGGGCTCGTCGGTGGAGAACGGGTGCTGTCTGGCATCTGAGGGTAAGTCTCTCGTTTTTGTCTCTGTGTGTGTGTGTGTGTGTGTGTGTCGTTTTTGTGTGTCTCTGTGTACGGTGTGTTTGTGTGTGTGTGTGTCATTTGTGTGTCTCTGTGTACGGTGTGTGTGTGTGTGTGTGTGTGTGTGTGTGTGTGTGTGTGTGTCATTTGTGTGTGTCTGTGTACGGTGTGTGTGTGTGTGTTTGTGTGGATGTGTTGAGTTTTCCTGATTTGTCGAGTGGGCGTGTGTGTGTGTGTCGTTTTTGTGTGTCTCTGTGTACGGTGTGTGTGTGTGTGGGTGTGTGTGTCGTTTTTGTGTCTCTGTGTACGGGGGGTGTTTGTGTGTGTGTGGACATGAGTTTTCCTGATTTGTCGAGTAGGCGTGTGTGTGTGTGGACGTGAGTTTTCCTGATTTGTCGAGTAGGATGTCTTCCTGATGGCATCTGAGGGTACGTCTCTCGTTTTTGTCTCTTGTGTACGGTGTGTGTGTGTGTG